GAAAAAAAAAACAAAAAACGTGTTTTTTCCCTTTCCGAAAGAGGCACGCCCGTACCTCTCGCGAAAGCACAACCGTGCCTCTCGCGGAAGCAAAATCGCGCCTCTCGCGAAAGAAAAAAAAATTGAAAACACGTTTTTTCCCTTTCCAAAAGAGGCACGCCCGTGCCTCTCGCGAAAACACAACCGTGCCTCTCACGGAAGCAAAACCATGCCTCTCGCGAAGGAAAAAAACAGAAAACACGTTTTTTTCCGTTTCCTCGCGAAAACAAAACCGTGACTCTCGCGAAAAAATGCATTTTTTTGGGCAAATTTTTTTTTTTGAAAATTATTTTTGGTCGAAAAGCTAGGGAAGACCGGTAGAAAACCAAAACGTAAAAAAACCCTGGAAAAACCGTTTAAAAAACCGAAAACGCGTGCGTAAAAATAAAAGAACAAAATTCGGAGAGAGCACCCAGAACGCGACACGTGGCGAATCGCTGTGAGCGCGCCAAGTGGCGCTGATCGTTGCGAGGCTCCCGAAGGAGCGCTTGTTAATTAGTTGCTCCCGCGATCCGAGATGCGTTCTGCTGCAGCTTCTCAAGCGCTGCGGCCCGGCTAGGAGGGCTGTGGCCTTGTACGGTTCAGACTGGGCCGGCTGGAAGCAGCCCAATTAGGGCCGACAGGTGCACAGCGAGGCGAGGGAGATTGATCCTGTAGCGGGCATTCCCTAAACGGCGCCCGTTGCGCCCGTTATAGACATGGGCGCAAACGGGCGCACACCCCCCGCGGCGCACTGGGCTGACCCATTACGTGTTTTTATTTTTTGTCTTGATCCGCAGAAATGGGAGCTACCAGGATTCGAACCACCTACCTCCGCGTCAAGGACAGCTAATTCAACCACGCGAGCACGGGGCAGGATATGGTTACGCTTTAGTTTTTTCGTCTACTATTCGTTCTTGTTCCTTTTTGCTTTTTTTGTTTTCCTTTTTAAATTACATGACCACGTGTTTTTCTTTTTTTCTTTTTTTCTGTTGTTCTTTCTTTTTGCCTTTGCCTTTTCTTTTTCCTTTTTCTGTCTTTTTCAAAATCGACGAACTTTTTTTCAATTTTATGAACTTTCTTTCAAATTCAATGAAGTTTTCTTCAAAATCAATGAACTTTTTTCATATTCGGTGAACTTTTTGCAAAATCGATGAACTTTTCTCACCAAATTCCATGAACTTTTTCCAAAATTGATGAATTTTTTTTCAAATTCAATGAACTTTTTTTGAAAACCAGTGAACTTTTTAAATTTTGATGAACTATTTTCGAATTGGATGACTTTTTTCAATATCCAAAATATGTTCAGATTTTTCGAAATTCGTTTGAATTTTCAGAAAATGTTTTTCGAAATTCCAAATTTTGTTCATGTTTCAAAAATAGTTCTGAATTCCAAATTTTTGTTAACCGTATTGAAGAAAAATGTTCACCATACATTGAAAAAATGTTCAGTGTGTATAAAAAAATGCTCATCATGTATAGAAATTTTGTTCAGCATGTATTCAAAAGGAGTTCATCATATTTAAAAAAAAGTTCTATGTGTATTTGAATATTGTTCACCATACATTGAAAAAATGTTCAGTGTGTATAAAAAATGTTCATAGTGTAGAGAAATTTTGTTCAGCATGTATTCAGAAAAAGTTCAGCGTATTTAAGAAAAATGTAACTTCATGTAATACACGGTGAAATTTTATAAAATTTGGTGAAAGTTTTTGAATACATGAACTTTTTTCTAATTTGCGATTTTTTAAAACTTATTTCAGATTTTTTTTTCTTTTCCAAAAAATCACGTTTTTCTAAATTGTTTGTACCAGAAGTAGTGTGGTTAGTATTGTTGTTAACCATCTCGCGCTGTAATGAATCACTAGGTTGTAGTAGATGTACTGGTTAGGCAGGCTGCGTCGTAACTAAACGGCATGAGGTTGAATCCTGTTGGGAGCAGCTTTTTTGGGAGGTTTTTTCTCTGCGTGTTCCTGGGCCGGCCCACCAGGTAGCGACAGTGGGTGCCAGTTTTTTTGGGAGGTTTTTTCTCTGCGTGTTCCTGGGCCGGCCCACCAGATAGCGACAGTAGGGGCCAGTTGCCTGTACCGGCGCTTAATGCGCCGTATAGGACCTCCCCCTGTAGCGATAGGTTCTAATTTCCGAGCGTACTCAGCAAACCGTTTATTTAGCGGTGGCAGGACGTTGTAAATACGGTAAACTTCAGCTTTTCCAATCGGTGGAGTTGGGCCTTCCTCGCTCCAGATTTTTTCAGTAGGATCGACTACAGCTTTGCGAAGCCAGCTTCTGGAGGTTATTTCGTTCGGCTCTTATCTGCTCTAGGAAATTGTGAAGTGTGGAGCGGGAGGAGATCAGAACACGCCCTGAAACCCTATTACTTTGGAATAAAACTCTTTTGCCCCCCAAAAAATACCCAAAGTCCGACATTAACATTTCTCAATAAGATGCACCGCAAAGATTTGGCATGTGGCCGGCCAGCTCTCGCAGCTTCCCCACCTCCTCGTCGCCGCAGCCCACACGTCGGCTGACGCTTCCCGTTCCGTCCGCCATCATTTTTCCGTTCCTCGGGAACGGCGCGATGACGTGCCCCGCAACATTTCTCCGGCGGAAAGCCCCGCAGCCGCACAGAAACGCTTCCCCCGCCGCCGCGTGGGCCGACCTGTCAGGGAATGGATAACGCCCAATCAACCAGACGATGCGGCCATGACTCGGCCGAGGACGCGTGCAGCTTTTCTTAACCGGCCTTCGCCCTATCCGGAACGCCCATCATTTGCCTCGACCCAACCGAATACCCAAAACGGCATTCGTCCTCCCCCCAGTCGCTGACGGCGGGCCGGGACGCGTCCTGGTCCCGCATGCCTGCGTCTAAACAGGCCGCGGGGTCCGGAGTTTGTTGGTTCGTTAGGTGCCGTGCGTGGACTGTGATGCTGACCGGGCCCTAACCGGGGATCGGAGGAGCGGGGCCCGCGCGAGCCACTGGGCCGTGGGGCATATATACGCCCTTTTTCCGCCGGCGAATCCCATTCCTTCCTCTCCCACGTCTCCAGCTCCTCCTCCTTCCCTTCCTCGCGCGCGCGCTCCTCTTCTCCGCTCTCCCCTCCTCGTGCGCTCGTGTTCACCGAGATCAGCCAAACGGCCACGCGCAAGCTCGCCATGGAGCAGACCGGCGGCAAGGGCGACCACGACTCGCGGCTGATGCGCGACCTCTGCACGCTGCTCGTCACCATCATCGCCCCCGTCGCGGCGGCGTCCTCGGTGGACTCGCCCCGGAGGCCCGTGGCGCGGCGCCCGCGGGGCGGCATGTCACCGGCGAGCGCGGCGTCGATGCTTCTGGGCGCGTCGATGGCGCTGATGCTGTGCGGGTCCGTGACGTTCGCCATCGGTTTCCTCCTCATGCCGTGGGTCGCCGGCGTCGCGCTGCTCTTCGGCTTCGCCGGCGTCATCTCCACCCTCTCCTCCGGCCTCCTCCCCTCGTCCTCGCCGTCCTCCTCCAAGGATAAGGAGCGACGGCTGCTGATGCCGACGCAAGGGCGTGTCCGTGCCTCTGCCCCGATGAGCTCTGTCCCGGATAAGCTCGTGGCGTGGCGTTGATCTGTTCTTGAAATTTAGTTAATTACTAATCAATTAGGGCGGGATTAGGATGGGTAATTCCTGTGTAAAAAACGCTTCCCTTTTGCTGTTGTTGTACGTTTCCAGTCGCAAGAGATGCTGATGATTTACTACCGGCACAAGCAACATTTATTATATGTGTTATTGTTTCGTGTCGAGAATTCCGTGCACGGATGGCAACGTGCTTCGCTACCCTGCTTCGTCAGACCAGAAAACTGAGACGTATACATCTCAGTCTGCGTCGATCTCGTAATTTCTGCAGTGTGTACTACTTTGCCACGGCAACTTTTGTGTTTTGTCGTGGTGAGACGTGAGGCCAACTCCACCGCGTGAACATATCCTATCCGGTCCGTCCGTTTAGTATAAAAAGGACAAATCGGGCGGCCCAGCGTGCGCGGAGCAAATGGATTTTTGTCTGTTTTGTGTCCGTTTTTGACCCATCTGCGGTCCAAGTTTGCGCCGCTTTTGGGGTGAAACGGACGTCACGCGGATGCGCCGGCCGTCTGCGCGTTCCTCCCCTGACCCGCCTGTCGGTGGCACAGGACGTGCCTGTTTCTATCCGCCCCCTCCCTCCTTCCGGCCGCACCCCACTCCACTTTTCTCCATTCTTCCCACTGTTCCCCTCGCCGCCGCCGCCGCTCCCATTGCAGCCGTGCAGCCCGGACGCGCGCTCGCCCAGCCCCTTCCCCTCGGTGCCGCCGAGCTACCCATACCACGGCCACCTGGTTTGCGCACCCGCCGGTCGGATTTGGGGCGGATCCGGTCGGTCTTGAGCTCGCCCAGCTGTGGGAGGCCGGGCACCTCGCCGGAAGGCCCTGGCAGGGCCGCAAGGCCACATGCAGGCAGTGGCTCGTCCTCTGGCCGCTCGGATCTGCACCGTCGGTGGTTCGTCGGCAGATACACGAATGGTGGCCGGCCGGGCTCGGTGCTTGCCCAAAAGCTCGTCGGCGCACCGTTGCCACTCACTAAGTGCGAACACTGCCCAAGGATGGTCGTGCGCCGCGTGTCTACAACGCCGGACATCCCGGATGGGTGTTCATCAAGTGCTTAAACGATGGGGTATGCGCTCTTTTTAGCTTCGGTTTGTGCTCTCGGATTAGACTAGTTGTGCTAACTTCAAATTTTATTGTGTAGAATGGATGCAAGTTTTGGTATTGGGAAGAAGAGTACATCAATATATTGATAGAGCGAAATTTAGTACATATTCGTGCACTTTTAGCTAGCATAGAGGTTGTAGATGAGATAAGTGCACTTATTGCTAGATTAGAGGCTAGACACGAGACTAGGTGTGAGGAAGCAACATCGACTTCTGGCTTGAAGAAGAAAGGAGTATGCCAGATCGAGTCTCCTCCACAGATAAACAATGAGTGCATCGAGAAGGCCCTAACCCAACTCAAGGGAGCAGTTATGGAAGTTGGGTATTTTCTTAAATGTATTCTTGTGGTTCTTGTTTTCTTTGGCCTTACTTTATTCATCAAAATGTGATGACGTATTGTCATGTATCAAAAATGAATGATAAAAAAAAGTTAAAGACTTGCAAAGAAATGTGCACACGGACAAGATGCGGCCGGGATGCGTCCACGTGTTGGGTGCACGGCCACCGTATCCTAGAACAAGACCGGACACGACCTCATTGCCCTATCCAAACGGACATAATCCGAACAAAACGGACGTCCGTTTGAGATCGCGCGGTGGAGTTGGGCCGAGAGAGGTGTGCAAGTACAAGCATGGCTTGAGATGCACTGGTCGTCGGGGCTAAGTGAAGCCTGAAGGCGATGTGAATGTTGGCTGTGCGCTTTACCTGATCGGGTTGGGCGATTACGTGTTAAAGTGCTTGGAAGCAACGAGCACCTCAACTCTTGCGGTTGTTGTCAGATGATTAGGGGGGATTTCACTTTCACGCCCGCGCTCTCTCCGTTGCTGTAGCAGCAATCAGTGTCTACGTTCGGCACCTGTTTCAGCTGCCATTCCGTGCTCCTGAACTGTCTTGTTCATCATCGAAGTTTCATCGAAGTCTCACGTGACCCGCAGGGCAGCGACTCCCACAGCAACCATGCTGCTCAGCGGCCCACACAGCCCAAACGACCCAACCCACGTGTCAGTGGGCCGGAGTGGGCCAACTGAAGCCACGCCGCGATACTACTTCAGGCGGACCCACACGGAAGGAGGAGCATCCACTGGATCAGACGGCAACGGCGGCATCGGCTACCCCTACCCCAATTCCGCACTCGCATGAACCCTAGTTCTTTCATTCATGTAATTCTCTTGTACTCGAATCAAACCAGAGATTGAGATCGTTGTTGTAATAGAGATTCTCGGTTCGTGCCTAACACCAGGTATCAGAGACCAGTCCACCTCCCTTCCACCGCAACACTCTGGCCCAAATCATCGAGACACGGCGTGTGCGGCAGGCGCGATCGCAGCTAGCCGCCATGGTCCCATCGGTCGAAGCCTTCTTCGAGCGCCTCGACACCATCATGAAGGCCCAGTCCAAGGCAATCACAGTGATCCAAGAATCTACGACCAAAATCGACGAGCTCGTCGCGGGGCAGCCCGATATGGGTGGTGTGATGGCGGCGCTCCAACTAGTGCAACCGCCACCTACCAAAGAAAGCGAGGAGAATCGGGCACCTGTATCAAGCCAAGCGCCTCCAGCGACGACTGGCACCCACCTCCGGGCTGGGCCTGACCAGTGAGCCACGACACCTTCAACCTTCCACGTGGGCCATTGGCGGTGTTGTTCCAGACGCCGATGCCCCCCCCCCCATGGCAACGGGTCAAAACAATTCCCTGGCAACTTCTCATTCTTCCTTGTCTCCATTCGCACACACGAGCCAGCTCCTCTCTGACCTGGGTCAAATCCATCCATCCATCTTGTTCCCACAATTTACGGGCGACAATCCTAATCTGTGGAAGACCATGTGCAAGCAGTATTTTTAGATGTTTGGGATTTTGCCATCATTTTGGGTTCCGATGGCTACTCTGAATTTTTCGGGTTCAGCCTCTGTTTGGTTACAGTGAATTACAAAACGCCCCGTTGATTTTGATTGAGGTACATTCATATCTATGAAAGAAGAATTTAGATAAATCTAACCATATCATGAAACATATGGATCCAAATCAGCCCCTTATGAGATAGTGCATAAACTAGGGTTTAAGTTTCTGTCACTCTCGCGACCCATTATCTACTTACTACTCTCCAATGCCTTCCTCTAGGCCCAAGCATGGTGAAGTGTGATGTAGTCAACTTTCACACGACACCACTAGAAGAAGAACAACATACACATCATCAAAATATTGAACGAACACTAACTTCACATGATTATTTCTAACAAGACTTCTCCCATGTCCTCAAGAGCAAACAAAACTACTCACAAATCATATCCATGTTCATGATCATAGAATAATAATATGTGAACATACGATCTTCCACCAAATAAATCAACTAGTATCAACTACAAGATGTAATCAACATTAGCTACTAGCAAATCACAAGTACCAATCTGAGGTTTTGGGACAAAGATTGAATCCAAGAGATGAACTAGAGTTTGAGATGAGATGGTGTTGGTGAATATGTTGATGGAGATGAGTCCTCTCACGATGAGAGGAGCGTTGGTGATGACGAAGGCTTCGATTTCCCCCTCTCGGAAGGAAGTATCCCCAGCGGAATCGCTTCGCCGGAGAGCAAAAGTGCTCCTGCCCAAGTTCCTCCTCGAGAAGGTGGCTCTTTGTCCCTAAAGTCTTCTTTTTTTCTAGGGAAAATGGTTTCATATAGGAGAAAGAGGGCCACCGAGGCCTGCTGGTGGGCCCAAAAGCTCACATGGCTCGCCCCCCCCCACCTGAGTTTGTGGCTCACTGGTGGGGCCCCTCTAGGTGATTCTTCTTCCAGTATTTTTTTATGAATTCCAAAATAAATCTCCATAAATTTTCAAGTCATTTGGAGCTCCCGAGAATAGCTATCTCTACTGTAGCTCTTCTCAGGTCCAGAATTCCAGCTGCCGGCAATTTCCCTCTTCATATAAATATTGCATAATAAGAGAGAAAAGGCATTATAATTGCATAATAAATTGAAGTATTAACCTAAGACATCATAAATAACAGTAGGAAAACATGATGCAAAATGGAGGTATCACATGGCATAAAGCTTTAGGGTTCTCATTACTCCCTATTGCAATGATCCAGAAAGGAGGGAGATAAGCACCATCACCATTGACCTCCACATCCCACCATCACACAAATAGTAATTCCCTCAAGTCCACATGGGGCCAATATTGAGTGAGCTCTCTTCACTACACTATCAAGAAATCAACGCAACACATATAAAAAAGATGATTGGATTGCTTATAAACATTAAGTGCTAATCATGCATGGGTTCAGACAAATCCTCAAGAACTAGTACAAATACTCAAACATATGAAGTATAAACATAGAGGGAAGAGGTGTGATACAAGCCGACACAGAGCGAGTGAAGGAGAGGAGCATGGCGGTGACCATGATGATGGATGCGATGCCAACAATGGAGATGGTACTGGCCCGAAGGACGGTGCGACACGGTGCCAGAGCCTCTTCTTCCTTCCCATGTCTTGGACCTTCTTCCTCTCTAGAGTTGGTATTGGAGGCTGGAGCAACAATCGAAATTGAGATTGATCTTGGATGAATAGATGATGTCGTTGGCGACTATAGGGTTGAAGTTGTATATATAAGGGCTCTCCCAAAGCCTCCTCTGGACATGTGGCTTTTCTCCTTTGATCCAAGGGCACTAGATGAACCAAATCCACTCCAAAAACATCCCTTATTGGCCAAGGAAGTCATGGGAACAAACGGGGACAAAATCCACAAAGAATCCGGTCCGGAAAGGCAATTTTCCGAGGTGTCATACCGTGCGGCATCATTTGCTTTGACCTCCTTCGGTATATTGGTCGTCATTTATTCATACGAACTCGGATTTTGACATTCTTTGGTTCATTGGAATCATTTGAACG